GCAAATCCCAGTTGACATAAATGGTGATCATAGTGAATTATATTAATTTTACTCCGAAATACTAATACCAAATAGTTCAGACACAATCTACGAGTGGCATGTTTGTTCTAAAAACAACTTTGGGGTAGCTGTGTACGTCTGGATCAACTTTTGTAAAAATTTTCGTATTCCATTCAGAACATGACAGGGTAGTCCCAAACGTTTGTGGACCTCTGTTCCTAGACAGGTGATGTCTGGCTTTCCGTTACCAAACTTGTCCCTAGTTATGTTCCATTTATCACATTCGATGTGCCATCGTTGTTCACTCCTGACAACAATCTTCAGTCCCTGGTCGTAATTGAATGAGTGATACTTAACGGTCGTTGGTTCGAAGTTGTCCCACGTCTGGTTCTCAACTACCCATGGCTGCTCTGTGACGCTTCGCCTTATTGGTTAATTTGACCGGAGTGTATTCTTTACGCCGAAAAATATCATTAGAAAACGTCATAAGGAATTTCTTCTCACTCTTTTGTCAATACTATCATCGTTTGGCACGCAGTGAAAGTTGACAAATATTGTTTTTCCATGCTGTTTCTTTCGTGGTTTGAGTTTCTGTGAAATAGGCACATGCGTACAAAATAGTTTGGGCTGTCACGATAGTTTTTCTATGATTCTGTTTTTGAAGCTGGATTTCGTGAAAAGCAAAAGTACGTTCAAGCCTGCATTAGTCCTCTTTCAACTCCTGGTCTCACTAACATTCACCAAGCTCATGAATGACATTTCGTTGATCTTCCTTTCAGTTCCGGTACAAAGTCGTTCTGGTCGACCAAGTTCCAGTGGTTCCGCCTCGAGTGGAAGTTTAGCGCCGAACATAAACGCAACCAACACGAATGACTCTATCGGTGGGAATACCGTGAGTGTTGGTCCCGGCGGTCCACTGCTTTCAAAAGCCGGTCGCTGTCTACCGGAGACAGAGGAAGGTGAAATGGATCAAGAATTGGTTGACATCATGGTTCGACGTTCCGGATCCACTGGCAAAGTTAATTGCTGTTCGGACGAAGGTCCTGGCAACCGTTCCTCATGCAATTTAATCACCGAGGGAAATAGTCATCGATCAGCTGTTTGCCCCCTCGGACTATCTTCAAATACCCACGTCACAGAGCTAGGCACCAGTCCTACTGGTCGTCACATTATCGAGGCCATTGTGGCCTCTTTGACCAGTTCACATGGTTCACCGTTGCACGGCAAGTAAGTGTGTTGGTTCCATCGCTCTATGGATAGTGTTCCTGGCCTTTTATCTTTGTTTAAAAAATGCTCCGCGGAGATCACGACGTTCCGCACCATGATAGATTCTTCTTCAAGCCACTTATTTTTGGGGTTGACGGGTGGAAGCACATAAAAGTATCCTTTTGTTGCATTTACTTTATCTTCACCTCGTAATCACCGTCAGTATTCCACGACCATCTTCAACTCACTTTTTCTTCTATCAAACACTGCTGAGCGATGCCCATTCATTCTGCGAGATGTTACTCTTTTCCCGTCCTGTCAGGTCCATTCAATCGGTTTCAATCTATTCGAATCAGTTGCACTATTTTCCTGCACTTCTGTTCTTTAGCTGTGTCTTCGGTGCATGTGACTCGGCCTTTGAGGGGTACCGTGAACCTTTCAACTTGATCCACTGCATTACCGGTAGCTATTCTGAGGTTTGTATGTCTGGCTTGTCATAGCGCCATTATTCTACAGGATCAACTAAACCCCTGGCACAAAATATTTGCATAACTGTGGGAAATTTATTGCTTCTGTCACCTTCGCATGTGCTCCTTTTCTATACCCAAGGCTTATCTTTGTTTGTGATGATTAAAGTTATCAGAAAGCAGTTTAATTGCACGGTTACGTCACCTTCACAGGTTACATTCACGCTTCCGTTGAACCTGAGCATATTTTTGTCGAATTCCATTTATACCATAGTTCCACACCGATCAACCCGCGTCGCAGTGCTTCCGCATGCAGTCTTCCTCGATTGGGTTCCAGTCCGAATGATGATCTGACAGAATTTCTGCTCCATTCAAACAGTAACGGTACTGCTCGGCTGTTCTCCTCGCCCAGCGGTCCCGGACCCTGGCAATCCAGTCGGGACGCTTTGGTCATTTTACAACAACAGCAGCAGCAACAGAACAACAACAACAACAAATCGCACTGGTTGAGTGATTACGTTGCAATGACTGGTCGTCGGTCTGTTGGACATTCACAGCATGACGGGAGCAGTACCACCACCCCTCCGCCGTCCGTGTCTGTTTCAACAAACTCATCCGCGTCCGGTGAGTTACGCCTAGTCAGTGGGACTCGGGTATTAGGCCAGTCCATGTTGCAAACACCTACTCTAAACGGGGACGGAACGACTGTACAAGATTCCTCAATGCAAGAACTTACCAGTGTCATCCGAAATTCGCCAACCTGCGGAGTGAGTTTATTTGTGACTTCCTCATGTATAAGGCAACCAACCGATTATCATTTCATCAGAGAAAAATTGTCCGAGATAATGAATGTAGTTGCATATTCGTGCCTTTTTCGGGTCGCTACCGCCTACTGTGGGTTTACGTCACACACGCCATATGCTACCAATCCAGTCAATGTGATTTTATTCATCACCATAGCATCCAAGTTCCGCGGGTTGGCGCTTTGAGGCTCAAATAAAATTTCGCGAATCCCAGTGCACTCGATGTCGGATGTCGCGATGGCGCCAACCGAGCCTTCTGTATACGAGCTGACACTTCATCCGTGATGCGTCCACCGGGTGAGATGTAGCCGGCCAGATAACCAAACTTATCCCCTTGCTCTATTACTTTTCCAGTTAGAGTGAGTCTATGTGATTGACCAACCCAGTCTTGTACTAACATTTTACACTTTGAAGGTGCAAAGCGCATACCGAACATGGTTACGTTGGCACACAAGCTATCCAGTCAGTCAAATCGATCAATATCAATTATCCCACACACACTACTCACAAGTAACTGTGAGTTAAATACGAATATCCAGTAAAGCTTGCAACTTACCTGGGTCTTCAATTTGCAACACGATATCGTCTGCATACTCCAGATCAGACAGTCTGCCATCTGGGAGCAAATGGATGCCATTATCCTCGTACGAGGATAGGGCTGTTTCAAGAAATAAATCTATATCAAAGTTAAATGGATAAGGAGAGAGAGGGCAATCCTGACGAAAACCACTTTCCGTAGTGAGCTGAGGCGAAAAAGTGTCGTCAGCTCGTACTCGACTTCGGCCACTAATAAGAAGGGATCGTACTATTGAAACAAACGTTTCGAATACACCCTTCGGGGAATTGCAGCGCCGGAGTTTAGAGCGGTCGACTGAGTCGAAAGCCGCCGCGCGATCCAGGTAGACAAAGATGGTAGGTCTGCGAAAAGAATGTCGGTGCTCCAGAATTCAGGGAAGAGTGAAGTTTTGTCGATACAACCTGGAACAGGTTTAGAAACATCCTGGTTCTCACGCGTGCACTCTTCACGTGCGTCAAACGATCGACGGAGAATGATGCCAGCGAGAAGTTTAGAGACGATGTTGAATAAAATAATTCGTCTTGTGGTTTTCACAAGAGGATCTGTGACCTTTCGCGTTAATCGGTATGATGACTAACTCACACCATTTAGTTTGTGTCTGTTCCCGCTCCCACACTGAACCCAAGAGGTTAGTGGTTTCCATGTAAGGCGGTGTCGTTTCTTGTGCGAGAAGTTCGTGCTTGACAGGAACAATCCATAGTCCGCGCAGAGTTGAAGTAGGCAATCTCCATTATCTGTCCGGTTGGCTGGGATTTAATGTGGTCCGCTAAGAAGCCTTTCTGATTCGTCCAGGGATCCCATTTGAGCATTGAAGTCTCCAGCGACTACCACGATGTCCGTTGATGGAGCACTTTGGAGTAAATGAGAAGGATCACTGTAGACCTCTTCCTTGATCTCTGGTGTATTGCCATCGGTCGGTGCATACACCGATTCGACGAATACACATCGACGCTTCGTTCTGTAGCTTTTAACGCGTAGTGAACCATCCAGACGTACGGCGCACAGTCGGCTACTGACTGGAATCCAGTCAAGAAGCGAGCGCTCAGCCTTGACACTTAGCACAATCCTGATACCACTAGCTCCGGATCCCGAATCGACAGACATACGAAGGGTGAATTGTGAGGTTGAGGTTGGATAAGGAAAACGCAGGGAGATAATTGTAGTAGGGTCTTGTTTGCGTGTTTCAGAGATACAATATGTTTCTAAACTGAAAGTTTCCAGGATTCTAGCCAAGGCAGTTTCTTGACCAATCTGATAGTGTGTTGACATTGAACATGGCTAGGTGAGAAGGGAATTTTGGCTTCAAAAATTCTATAACATCTGATCGTTTGGCTTTTCTGGTAAAACGCTGAGTGATATCCGACGGGTCTTGTAAACAGGAGGCGTTTGGGATTATTCTGGATTGAGAGGAAGAGCTTGACAGATGGGAAACAGGTTTTAGAGCACCACTAGCTTCGCGACAACCCACACCGACGAAGGGGTTTTTCTTTGGAACCCTAACCGAAGCCTTTGACTCAAAAGTCTGACCCATAAGGCAATGGGGCGTAAATCCGTCGCAGAAGTGTGAACAAAGCCCCCGTGTGGGAGCCTCTAGAGGCCTGTCACGCAAGGCCTTCGGGTTTCGGTTAAGTGTGTTGATTGCCGGTCCGCTTTTCGGGATCGGCTCTTAGCCCCATGCACCCAATGCGACAAGCGGAACGTGGACGGGACAACACCTTATTGGCTGGGGGCTGTCCAGCTTGAGGGCGATAGCTGTCCAATGAAGTGCGAAGACTTCTCCCACCGTCGAGAGGAAGCCCCAGGTACCCCTCTCCTACGTCCATCCAGCGGGGTTTTTTTTTGACCGGTAAGCTGCCCCTCACCGTGTTTATTTACTGGAGTGACCTCTCCAGGGGTGGGCGTGGATAGATGAGGTAAGTCAGGCGCCCATGCAACTGGCTTTATGAGATTGATCTTCGTCTGGCCTCTGCCCATTGACCTTTCAGGCATAATTGAATCTGCGGCTGTGAAAAGCCGTCCTGTGTAGCTCGCAGTTTCATGGGGACACGCAAGCCATCACACCATGTCGAGGTGCCGTCTTGTCGTTATTACAGGAACGAAAACGACTCTATTCCCCATAATTATGTTTGTTTCATTTGTCCGTTTTTCATTTGAAGCCTAGACAATTCAGCATGTTTCTCCTCTTAGATTTCGCTGCTTTTTTCGTCAATTCTAGGCCGTCCACTCAGAGTCGTGCTCCTCTACATTACTCACAGTTCATGGTCAACGCTACTAGTTCAGCCTGCTATCAGTTGATTTTTCAGATTCGGCCTAAACATTATCCTGTTGTTCCATATCTCGCAACTCCGCTAGGTTAGCTGCCGATGTTTCTTTCAACCTGTGTTCCAGCTCCATAATTTCAAAAGTGGCGAACCACATAAAACGCCAGTAACAGAGACCCAAACCACTACTCCGGCACCGGTAAGCTCAGCATATATCTTGGGTTTAGCTTATTTGATCTCTCCGACTACCTTCTCTTACCCAACGAATTGTCGCCCACGGGAGATTTGCCTCCTTTGACAGATCAATCTTTTTCGGTCGCCCAAACCTCAGATGGCGTCCATCAGTTCGTTTGGTAACCGTGGCTCGCGTTCGGACTCGATCCATGAAGTCGGACCGTTTCTCCGGTCCTGTTGACTAATCATTCTGTCATGTGAACATACTCAACCTCCGTTCTCAACTCGTCTCTCTCCACGATACGTTCCACCTTGCAACACTTCTCGGCTTCTTGTTCAGCCGTCGTTAGTCATCATCTAACACAATAGGATAGACTATCGCAGTAGGTCTCATGCGTATCATGTGACCGACCATGCAGTGATTCACCACTGGTCGTTTGCTATCGGGACGATGCTTTGCCCGCCTGGAATATGTGTGAATGCACTGGGGATGAGTCACGTAAGTAAAATGAACATCAGTTGTTACGCCGCTCGCGCGCGCGCACACACACAACACATATCTGTCATCGAGATTTAAGCTAAGTTGAATACAGTAAGGTCTCCTTCCCCTCTCCTGTTTGAAATGTAGGAGCAGTGTTCAGTACAGTACAGCATTTTCGGAGAGGGTAAACCTCGTTATGATAACAAAGATGGTCGTACCACGGATATGAACAATTTCCATTTGAAACACCACTTATTGATTCTTCATCTGCGGATGGAAATGTTATAAAATGGAAAGAGAATCAGTTAGGCTTAGTGTTTCATAATGCCGTGGTTGATGCAAAAATTGAATTATGCGTTATCGTTCAACAAACTCCCAAATATAGGCCTACATAATGCCTGTAATCAGGATTCACTGGCAGATGAGTGGGACAGGAATCATAGTGACAAGCTGTGAGTAGCGAACTCCCTCATAAACGAGTTTGATGAAAAAGTAGTTCAACCAGGTTCGG